TATATCTGATAAAATAGTTATCAATACTTTATCATTTTAACTTGTAACTCTGTAATAGGTTCTGTTTATATAATCTTTGTATATATCTGATAAAATAGTTATCAATACTTTATCATTTTAACTTGTAACTCTGTAATAGGTTCTGTTCTTTTCCATGCTAACAAAAATTTAGATATGAATGTAACCGAAACACAAAAGTATGACTGAGTCTTAAATAAAAATAATAACAGATTTTAATCTAGGTTTGGAGATTCATTAATAAGATCAAGTTTTTTATAATTATTTTATCTTAGATAATTAAAACATACACCATCAGTCAGAGTGAAAATGAAACATGTCATTCCTTAAACTTAACAGACTTACCAATTAAGTACTTTGATCCCAACCTGTACAACTTTCGAAACTGATGGTACACATAAAGAACTGCCATACACCGAGTTACGGTCAATAACACAACATCCAAGTCTTTATGTGGTGTCTGGAAACACAATAATAATTAATCAGAGCAAATCAACCTGGCCATCAGTATAGTTAATCAAATATACTAAAATCGACTGTTTGTCAAATGAAAACAAACTTATTTGTTACTTTATCTGTGGGAATAATAACATATAGATTAACACTTCAGATACCATCATTGTTTTAATCACAATGACACGTTAAATTATAAAGTTCTTTAAAAAAAAAAGGCACATTGCCAGCTTGTTCTCTAAAGAAAGTTAACAATGAATCATTGTTGTTAAACTTTTATTTCTAGATTACTTAGTATAGCATCATCTTTGTGACGTATGCATCCTACAGTACGTGATGTTCACTTCACCTCTAAAGTTAGTTTATCCACGCATACAAAGTTATAACAGAATGAAGAATTTTAATTAATAGTTACCTCAATAGGGGGACACTGATAGCTCCATCTACACCTACTGTTCCTTTCACCAAATGTTGGTCCCATTGAGAGAATACAAATAGTAAGAGTTGAGAAAGTTACAATAACCTCCCAAGGATGTCGGCAACAAAAGTGACCGTAACTATAAAACAGCTGCGACACCATGGTGACCTGAAACAAAAAGTAACTAATATTTAACACCTTCCATATAACTTATCATACAGCTCTCTACAGTCTAGTGGAAAAAAAAAACAACTTAGGAGTGTTTATCATTATCCTCACAATCTATTGAGGTAAATATATAAAAACTTATGGTAACTCTTATTCAGTGTGCAGAAAAAAATAATAGTTTCATAAGAAACCCAATATGTAATATACATAAGTAAATCAGATAGGTTTTAGAATATGTTTCCGAGCTACAGTTAACAATAGCCTAAACCCTTTAGCTACAACAACAACGTTAACAAAAAACATCTTATATTTTGTAGAAAGGCAAGAGTTGAAAAAACAATTAAAGCTACTTGAAACTATTTCACAAAAAATAATATATATTTATGGTGTTTTGTTTTCAGTTACCAAACAATGTGATGAAAGAAAAACAGTATCTAAAATCAGGTCTTGTAACGATAAAAATAATTACACTCATGACTGTTTTAATAGTCCACTCTTATAATGTGATCCCTAAGTTCAGTTATTATATGAAAATTATTTTGTACGAATAGCTTGGTTTTAAATTTGTTACTTCCGGAAAAATATCAAGAATTTTATGGAGCTCTGAAATAGTTCGTACATATGGTTCCAGACTTACTTTGTTCAATCAATCAGACTCAGAGCAGCCTAACAATAATATCATAATTTTACAGCACATTCTCCGGCATTTATTATACAATAAATATATATATCATAAATTCGTTTTATTTTGTTCTTCTTTCTTTAAGTCACTATATTTTTAAAGGTTCTTTATTTGAAACGTCTAATAATATAATTTGATTTTGAAGAGGTAAAAATCTGTAGAGAAAGCCATCTGATAATAATGTATTTATTTGTGGTTTTTACATTAATTTGATATTTACAGCATCGCCATGGGTGAAAAAATAAATTATAGATTAAAAATACAACTTGATAATCAAACGGTAAAATGAACTAGAGTTAAGCCTAAACTAATCTACGACACGTACAAAAGTTTCATAAATAAGGCAAGGCTCGTACTCCAGACACAGACATAACTTGTAAATTGTAGAGGCATTTCGAAATTAACCAACCGCACTCGTGCGTCTTAAGTACATACAAGGTCAGATGATGTTGAAATATTTTAATATTGTGATTCTCAGCATCCTTACTGTAGAAAAAAAACCACTGAGGAATCTTTGCGCTCAACTGTAAGTGTATATAACATGTAACCTTCAGCTAGGCCTTACTTTAAACCTGAAATTGTGGTAGACGTACAATCCCCAAAATAAAGCCCCCGCGAGAAAAGCACGCGTTTTGTACGAATGTCAAATGATCCTTCCTTGGTGCAACATCTATCATTCAGCACTTGTGTTGTTTTATTGTTTTTAAGCGCTATAAGTTCTCGCAGTAAAATGCGTAACATGGTAACAGCAGTTAACATGAAAAAATTATAGGGGGCGCAACAAAAGGCAGGTTAAGAAAAGAGGCATCATGGAAAAGTTTGACACAGACAAACTGATATTTTCACCTACAATATAGGTTGTTGGTAATACAGCACACACAGTGACGACGTCAATAATTTACACATAACTAACTTTATGATACAACAGTCTGAGATAAGTGAACTGTTAGCCGGAGCGAGACCTAGTGATTGTCGTTAACGCACTGGAGTTCCGAGAGTCTTTGGTTCGAGACGTAATGCCACCACACACTCTCAGCTGTGGGTGCGTTGTAAGAGTGACAGTCAATTTCGCTTTGGGCGCCACGATCTGTCAAAGGTATCTCTGACCCGGTCGTATTTAGACTACCTTGTGTCATTCAATAGAACAAACTAACCAGTAAACTTTAGAGAATGTTTACATTAACTATTTTTTCTATACTTCAAAAACTACTAAGGTTAATTATTGCAATAATTGTTTGTTTTTGATAAATAAAACAAATAGGATTCTTATTTAGTTAGGATACTCCTAAGTTTATGAACCTTGTAATAATTATTTATTGAATTTGAAATTACGTGGGTTATTAGTCTTTAAACGAAATCAACCGTACCCACTGCTGTGGACTGCAATTTCGCTTATAGAAAGCTCATCAGCACATCTTGGACTGGCAAATCAAGAGAAACAATAAGCCTTTACGTCAGTGATTGTTATTTCAGGCGTATAATATTGACAAAACTCTGGAAGCGGTAAACGTAATCAGTCAAATAATAATTACATACAAATGCAATAGTACAGCTGGAAAAAACAACAACACTTACTTTGGCTAACTTTTTCTATTTCTTCTCCTTCGGTTATAACGTCAAAACAATAACACTATATATTATCAACTGACACTTGAACAAACGGTCGGCTTTCTTTTATGTCGTGTTTTCAAATACTACGCACGTGTGGTGTATAGGGCGCGTGTCGCGGTTACTGTTGGCCAAAGGAACACGCAACCATTAAATAATCTCGATCATCATGATTGGTTGGAAACTACGTCAAAGGAAAATACGCCTGTTTCCTTGACTACATTCATGTTTGAAGGTTCGGCGTATAATTAAGTGATATGTATACAGAGATTTTCACAGAACTATCAGCTCTTATGAACTTATGCAGCTGTACAAAGTCTGATCTTTAGATGATCTGGAAGAACATTTCAATACAGCGTATAAATATGAACAAACATATAAAATATAAAGAATTACCATAACAACCACTTTTAATTTCTTCCTGTACTTGTACCACACTTTAAACATTTCTAAAACTGTGATTCGCGAAATATTTTATTATTATTATTCTATACGCTGATGGTATAAGAGACTGGGATGTTGAATTTTAATTTTTGGAATAACAACCTAGGTATAAAGTGTATTTATTTCAGTAAATAATAGCAACCTACGCATAACGTTTATTTATTTCAGTAAATAATAATAACCTAGGTACAAAGTTTATTTATTTCAGTAAATAATAGCAACCTACGTATAACGTTTATTTATTTCAGTAAATAATAATAACCTAGGTATAACGTTTATTTATTTCAGTAAATAATAACAATCTAGGTATAACGTTTATTTATTTCAGTAAATAATAACAACCTAGGTATAACGTTTATTCATTTCAGTAAATAATAACAACCTATATATAACGTTTATTTATTTCAGTAAATAATAACAATGTAGGTATGACGTTTATTTATTTCAGTAAATATAACAAGGATAAAGAAAGACTTTCTTTAATACCCAAAATTTAGTATGTGTAATATAAACAAAAAACAAAATAAAATAAAATTTTCATGTTAAGAGTTGGTATAAACATGGTATCTTCATCAAGTCCGTAATATGCAGACGATATTAAATGAACAGAGGCTCATTGTCAAAAAAGGGACAGTTTTTCAAGTAATGTGATGCAAGTGTAGATTTGTGTGTATGTTAGAGGAGACTATGGGTTGCCTCTGGTACACATAAAACCATAGAAGCAAACAACGAATTATTGCGTATTAACACTGAATAAGATGTTTCTTTAAAGACCTACAAGTCCCTGTGTATTATCCATTTTAACATTTAAATCTTTCTCTTTCTCTGTTTTTTCCTAATAGCTCGCAGCAAGCAAGATGTGAAATAAGTTGTATCTTTTCGTAGTTGTTGAAATATTTTATGAAAGAGAGACAAGGGGCACTTTTGGAGCATAAAGGGAGGAAGGCAGGTCTTGAGCCCATTCAGCCACCCCACTATGCACCAAGTAATATTCTAATCATACAAACCCAACAATGCCGACTAACAGCAACATTGGCCAACAATGTTTTCCAGCTCCAGTTACTTTGAAAAGCTGATCGTTTGATTTTCTTTGCTTGTCCTTTGAGAACCTATCCAACTGTGCCATCTTAAGCCTCATTATCGTGTAATCAGTGCAACTCTTGCGTCATTCAGTGAAATCCTTACAACGAATGTAAAACACGATGACATAGCTAAAAAAGGCACAATCTCTTGGCGTACCACATTTTGCTATCACAGCAGGTGATGCGAAATTATTCATCAGATCATGGAAATTACAACCGATAAACTGGCTAGAAGAAGCACTAAAAACTCCACCGTAAAAAAGAGATCTTTTTTTTTCAATGTTGTGATTTTACAGTATTCAAAAATATAATACTGTAAAGTGATAAACCTTTTTAGTTTATTGTTGCTCTTAGGGCAGTGAAAGAACAATGGAAACAAACATTTTAAATACACCCAGGAAAACTTAAAGACCCTGTTTCCATTGTGAAGATTTCTAAAAGTAGTAGCCTCTGTTTCCATTATGAACATGTCTAAAAACAATAGACTCTGTTTCCATTGTGAAGATGTCTAAAAACAATAGACTCTGTGTCCATTGTGAACATTTCTAAAAACAATAGACTCTGTGTTCATTGTGAACATTTCTAAAAACAATAGACTCTGTGTCCATTGTGAACATTTCTAAAAACAATAGACTCTGTGTCCATTGTGAAGATGTCTGAAAACTAGATACCCTGTTTCCATTGTGAAGATGTCTAAAAACTCTATGCCCTGCGTCCATTGTGAACATTTCTAAAAACAATAGACTCTGTGTCCATTGTGAAGATGTCTAAAAACAATAGACTCTGTGTCCATTTCTAAAAACAAAAGTCAGTTACATACTGAACTACAAGAAAGAGGATAATAGCAGTTTGTTTCAGATATATTCGCGCAAAGCTTTATAAAGGGTTATCTGTACATAGCCGTATCTAAATAGTAACTGACAGTTTAAAGCAGTGTTCCCAAAGTGGGAGCCGCGGACCCCCTGGGTGCCATGAAGCTTTTTCTAGGGGTCTCCAAAAAATGGGCCGAAACACAGATGTTAAATTAATTTTATATCTAAATAAACAATAAGCCGATAACAATCATATTGAATTAATTAAATGATACACTATGTTGAAAGGCCATGTTATTGTTTTTACTACAGCACTACACCATGCTAAAGTTATAGGTTAGGAGGCTAACTTTTTTACTCACATCAAGGGAGCCTCAAACTAAAAGAGTTTGGGAAACACCCATGACCCTAAATCACGGAGCGCCTTTTAGGTCTAACCACTAGGCCACTTATAACCTGTTAATAACAGTATATTACTGTAAAATATCACGTGATTATATGGAAATTAATACTATTTTCAGAAAAAAAAACTCACTTTTAAACAAACTCGAACAATATATTCCTCGTTGTAAAAAAAAAAAATCATCTCTTAAACTACTAATAAAATATAAATAGGGCAATAAACTTTATTTTATAATATAGACAAAACAACGTTTACAATAAAAAAAATGACTCTAAATGTTTCGGTAACTTCCGCTATCATCACCAGGAGTAAATATCTACTCTAACAGCGGGTTTATGTACTAGAATGGTTGGCTTTATTATAATTCACCGGGGTGACACGAATACTGTACGTATGAAGTCAATATTTCAGTATTATCGCTAGCCAACCCTTCATCTCTATTTAACAAATGATTTCAATAGATTCTCTGATATTAAACTCATTTATGATTATTGTTTTATGTCACTATCAATTACGTATTTTACCCTTGAATATTGTTTGTTAACTTACAGTGAAATACGGTGTCAGAGAAACATAAATATTCTATGTACACCTGTAACGTATTCTACGTATACACACACATGAGGAATTACACGAGATTACGTCACATAATGGCATTCTTGATTCAAATATATAAGTTAGTTCTCTCAGTCATGCATGAAATATTAGAACTTATATTGTACTTAGAACCATCACAATTATCTCTCCAGTAAGTACAGAAAGCGTAACGTTCTATTTACTCAATTAGAAAAACCATAAAGAGATTATTAGGAGAGAGACCAGCGCCAAACTCCTCAAGCGGAGAAAAAGTATAACTATCATATTTGCATTGAGTGCCTGATGTAAAAAATGATTATAATAATAATAAAACATTGTACAATAATTAATAATAATGATAATAGCGTATAAAATCGTTATTTATTTATTTAAACGCTAGGTGAACTTAGCACCGTCCAAAGAACAGGCTTCCCCTCCTCCAATTGTGGAGTACTGCCGCCCATGTTTGTCATATCTTATTGTAGCGTCATGCAGTCCCTAATTACAAACCAGTAACTATTTTTTTGGTTCTACTTGGGTGTATACTGTGTCTAGTTATTATGAAAATTCTCACACAAATATGTCATATATCCTGTTTACAGATTCACGGCATGTGTTATAAAAAAAATTTAACACAGTCTGGTGTTTATTATAACAAATTTAGCCCGGGACGTAAACAATATAATAACAACAAAAACTGCCAACTGTTTGAGATTTTCACTTAACATCACGTGCCTGTCTGAAAATATATTGCATAAGCAACAAAACCGGCCTGTCGTTATTAAATGTTTCTCATTTGTTGTGATTCGGCTAATTACATCGTATCTCACTATTGTTACAATGAAAAATGATGCATTATTAATTTTGTGAACATGTAAATTTCCCAAGCATTTTGTTTAGGCCTAAGAGTTCTTGTTACATTCATATCACATAACCTAAAGGCGGCTATAAGAAAGGTGTGTTTGTTTTTTGTGAAACATAAAACTATACAATAGTCTATCTGTGGGCCAACCACGAGTATCGAAACCCGACTTGTAATGTCATAAGTTCTCAGGCTTAACGCTGAGCCACTGGGGACTAAAAGGAAGGAAAAATGAACAAAAGACCGCTGTGGTATGGTGAAATCGAAAACAAAATGGACTATTAAAGTTTAAAATCACCAGAGAAAGGGTGTCTAAGGCCGAAACGTTGTGAACATTCAAACATCTATATAACATTAAACCTTTATGTGGTATAGGTTCTCTCCTTTTGTTTTTACTACAGGGAAGGGATCGAACAATTTTTTAAACACATTATGTTATCTAGCTTTAAAACCAAACAAACAATTCTATCATGCTTATAAAAATTTATTGACAAAAACATGACTCAACAGTTGTTTATAAGGACGATAGAATATTTATTGACAAAAACATGACTCAACAGTTGTTTATAAGGACGATAGAATATTTATTGACAAAAACATGACTCAACAGTTGTTTATAAG